GCTGCAACAAGGGCCGCGCCTTTCTTTGCATTTCTGTACGTTGATCGTAGGACGTGCATCAAGATGCGCGCGAGAATCGTTTCGCATGTGCGCCACGTAATGCGCAATTTCCAGAAGAGAGGAGATAGCATCGATCCCGGTCCTCTCCGTTACAGGAGAGATCCACGGGGACAGCCGTAACCGAAATCTCGAGATTTTATCCGGCTCGTCGTCGTATTGTTAAACGGAGGAGAACAAGCCTCGTCACGAACGGTACGCGGCCCTTTAAACCCGACGAGCTGCCTTCGGAATCCATACGGAAACTGATAACACGGATCCGCGAATTCCTTTACGGTTTTCCGACATTTTTTCCGAATATTGTTCGCGCCACGATTCGACGCCGCACGCTTCTGTCCACTGTGTCCGCGCGATCTTAAAAAGTCCTCTGTGTTTAACAAACTATTCAACTCCGGATCGACTTCTTATTTTCTCGTTAATTTATTAAATATTAATTACATTTTTAAAAATTATGTGTTTTATTAATATAATTTATTAATAATATAATATAATTTATTAACTTAATAATTCATTAATTATGTCAATTTAATAGTAAACATTCTTCTTTTTAATTTGTACCGAGGTCGTAGTAATTTTTATATCTTGAAACGATGAAATAATATTTTAATTGTCAAGTCCTGACCCGTTGCAGCATGCTGCCCTTAATAATAATTAATTTGTCCTAAACCTTACAATGTTATTTACGTCAAAAAGTAGAACAAGTGCATTCTGTGATTAAAATGGTAACGCATCGCGAAAGACTTTGCACTCGAAGCCATTTTAAATCTGAATTAAGGACAAACTTTATAAACCACATTATTTTCAGTTCATCCGACGAACAGTGAATTTTATGCATATGAAATACAACCTTAACACTGCCGAATAAAAAAATTAATTTTTTCGTCGATGCAATGTGTACCAAAAATTCGATTAGGATCCGAAAATATAAAAATACCGAGACGGGTGTCGCGCGTTTAATTTTTCCAATTTTGGTTTCACTAAATTATATTTATAAATCATACGATATATTCGTGATTGTTACGTCGCCGTTAATCGAATTTCGCTCTGCTGTCCGAAAGTCTCGGGCGACTCGGGTTGTAAGACGCTGTAACAGTGGGAGCCAGAACGTAGAAACTCTATCGGCGGCGATCTGGTATCGCCTAGCTGTTCGCAGATCCACGGATCTCGATTCAAAGCGGGACCACTCGTAGGTAATAATTATCGGCTCGGGTCTGCCGTTATCCGACACCATTAGGCCGATAGAGCGGCGCGTTTCGACCATAGTTGCTCTCTTCCCGGCACAGAGATGCTTATCGCCGAACGCGTTCCCCGCCTAGGCGTTTGCGGCTTCTAGCAGCGAAAATGAGAAATGGCCTCGCCGTTTCGTCCTCCGCGGGACCGAGAGCCCGACGTTCGCTCGTGCGAATCGCCTGTACCTTCGTTCCCTCTTCCTACGGCGAGCTCGCGAACTACCGATCCGCAGCCTCAATACAACCGTGCCCGGTAACCAGTCGCGTCTATGGCTGTACATAACCTCGCAGCAATTTCGCTAGCTTATCTCTACAAAGTGCGCTGAAAGGTGTGTTCTTTCGTCGTCGATTCTCTGTAAAGTGTCTTCTTGCGCGTGCTTTCTTTGCTTTCTATCTACAAACACTCTCTCTCTCTCTCTCTCTCTCTCTCTCTCTCTCTCTCGATGGGCGTGGCCTCGTTTTTCCTCATCTCGGGACCGCATTAAAAGGCGTGGCTCGATGGTTCCATCCGCATAGAGTGCCTCGAAGGACGTTGTTTCGTTTCTGTTTCTCTGTAAAGAGACTTCTTCGACGTCCTTTCATTGTCTCCTATCTGCAAACCGTCTTAATGGGCGTGGCTTTGTTGCTGCTGCTCTCGAGTCTGCATCGGGGGCGTGGCTTAATGGTTCTTTCCGTACAAAGTGCCTCAAAGAACACGGTTCCGTTGCCAACTCTCCGCAGAGTATGTTCTTAGATGCACTTTCGTGGCTTCGTCGTTGTAGCGTCCCTCGAGAGGCGTTGCTTCGTTCTTTCGTATCCGCAGAGTACATTAAGGGGCGTGGTTTTATTGCTCTTTCTTCGTAGAACGCTTCGAAGACCGTAGTTTTAGTTTTCTGAGATTATTGAGAGAACGTTGTTTCGTTGCTATCTCTCTAGAAGATTCCTTAAAGAGCGTAGCATCGTTGCCATCGCTCCATAAGTTGCTTCAAGGGGCGTGGTTTGTCTAGAGCTCCGAAAAGAGTGCTCTAAGTGGGCGCGATTCTGTTGATCCTTTCACCTGAAGTGTCCTTAAGACAACAATCTTTCTGCTTTATTTATACCGAGTACTTTCGAGATCATTGTCTCACGTCTCGCGCACTATAAACTGTTCGAAGGGGCGTGGTTACGTCAAGATTACGCCAAAGTTACGTCAGTTCCCCCTTCATAAACTGTCCGACGTTCAGTTTATACTTAAGTTCACACTTTCGCAGGACTCTAGAAAACTTGCTTAGCTGAAACATCGTGAACAATTGGTCCATCTGGACGATGAGGGCGTTGCCATCGCCTAAAAGGGGCGTGCGCTGATCGAGCCTCGGAAGTATTCCGCGACGAAACGGAAGAAGTCTCTCCCCTCAGATTTCTCGCAGCGTTGTCGCGAGAAAGCGGGGTCTCGGCTCGCTCGAAGGCTGCCTGGCATCGTCCTAGCTCGTCAACAGGTGGTATAAATCACTTGGCGGTGACTTCGGGCCGCGTCATATCCGAGCGGTGCTATTGTGCCGATGGTGTCGGCGTGGCTGGTAGCACGCGGAACAATCGTGTCGATAACGAGCAACAATTATGGACCGTTCTGCTGTTTGCAAAACGGCAGCCAGCCAACAATAGAGCCTGCGGTCGCTGCTGCCCAGATATTCCATCGGGGCCCGATCCCTCGGCCGCTCTAATTTCCCGCGATCGAATTCCCGTTCAACGAAACACGCCGGGCTATCGTCTAACGAACGCGCCGGTCCCGGCAGGTTGACTACCTGCCGGAGGGTAGCTCGCGTCAACCTCCGGTCGGATCAATGGACCTCAGTCATTGTCCTCTCTCGCGTAAGGGCAGCGTGGACGTAGCCAGTTGAAAATGGGCACACACCGTGCACCGGCGACATAAATCATACACCCCATTACAGAGCTACTAGATCTTGCCACGGCGATAGCTAGTGTCTTCCTTCGTTCCACCAACCGCGGCTCTCCCCCGGCTCCGCTCTTTTTCTTCGTGGTGGCACGTTTCCACCGTGTGTCGCCACGCCATTGCTGCCTCGCTGCTGCTGCTGCTGCTGCCTCGCTGTTTCTCCCGTCGTTGGTTGCTTCTTCTCGGTCTCGTTTCCTCTCACCTCTCGCCGGGACCGAGAGATAAGACCGAGGAAAAGCATTGTTCGCGCGGCCGCTACTTTACGGGCTCCTATTTTGGTCACGGAAGATTCGTTACGGTACGCCGACGCTAATCGATCGACGTATCGAGCGAAAGTTTACGAGATAGCCGCGCCTCCCACTCCCCGAGCCCGCGAATCGATGGGAAACTGTCCGGAATAATTAACCTACGCTCTTCGCGATCGCCGCGACGCGCTTCGTTTGCCATGCAAGCGGTGCCGTTCTATCGTGAACGCGCGCGTCGAAGAACGAATTCGAAGGACATCGATCGAGATTCGAGTTTAACGGAGAAAACGACTCCTTTGGATACTTTCAGTTCACTCTTTTTAATTCGAGCACAGTAACGTTAATCGAAACGCATCACCGATACGATATGTAGAACTAATTCCTGAATTCTATGACAATAAATTGCGATATAAAGGAATAAGGGTGTCCATAATTATGTCAACACGCGGAACGGGGTGATTCCTGAGGTCATTTGAAGCAACTTCTTCCTTTGCGAAAATGCAATCCGTGGCTTCGTTTACGAGTTATTCGCGAAAAACGGTGACCAATGAGAGGCGAGCTCGGCTGCCGCAAGGCCAATGAGAGGACAGCTCGGCTAGCGGTTCGGCCGCCTCGCGCTAACTAACCTCGCCTCTCATTGGTCACTGTTTTTCCTTAATAACTCGTAAACGAAACCGCGGATCGCATTTTCGCAAAGGAAAAAGTTACTTCAAATGACCTCAGGAACCCCTCATTTTTCGCTTGTACAATAATATTGGGACATCCTGTAGATGTCAGTCTCAGATTGATGTTAGACTTCGAAGAGGCAGATGGTCGATTTTTCGTGGCAACTCTGGACATAGCATTTTAATCGAACTCCAAGGTCATATTGACAGATGTTTGAGCTATCTTTGTAATTTTTTATACGTCGTTATTTGCAAAATTATCGCAGATATTCGCCGAGGAAAATCGCTCGCTTTTCGGCTGTTGCCTGACATCGAAAAGAAATATATTTTGCTTTTAAATCTGGAAATTTATTCTGAGAGAACTGATTGGCACATAACTAGGAAACTAAGAGACTTTATTGATATGAGTCTGAGCTACGTTCCTGATTTTTCCTATCCCGCTATTTTTGCAGAAAATGATCGAACAAATTTATTAACGGGCAAACATATTAATTGTAATAACGTCGAGAAGTCTCAAGAAGAAGTCTCAACTACTTCTACAAGTAGTTTGGCATCCATTTACCCTCTTACACTATGACAACGTGTCAGACTATCCCATTAAATATGAATTTTACACTATTCTTCTAAATCGAAATAAAATCCGATTCTTCTGTTATGAAAATCTAAGAATAGATGCAATGCAAGGAGTTGAAAATTTTGGGACATTTTTAAGTTGTTTCTGTTACGTTAAAAACAATGGGGTGTTTAGCCTATATTTCGTTCAATTATTTTGTTATTTCCTGCGCTCAAATAGTATCGATAGTAAATAGTATTAATAGTAAATAGCTCGATCGTGAGAGCTTCGTCGAGAATGGTTTATCATTACCAGAAAAAAAAGAAACAGCTGACAACTTACCTCTGTCGGTGGCGATCACAGGAATCTCCAGGTAGGGCGCGGTTTCCCTGTCGAGGGGTGTTCTCACGCAGATATCGCCGGTGTCGCTGCGCACCATCAGCTGCTCGGTCTCGACTCTGCCAGGGGCCAGCGTGTAATTCACCATGGCGTTCACGCCGCAATCGGGGTCGGTCGCCTGCACCTGAAATCGGCCGAGATTCGACGGAAAATTAATCGGTCGTCTTTGCGTAATTGCAGGGTGTCGCGGCGAGTTGTATAAACAGGACGGCGGACTGGAGGGTATCGATTAACAACGGGGTGGGGAGGGGGGACCACGGGGGCCGGGCCGCGGAGTCCGAGAGCGAGCGAGGCGCCCCGTTCTAGGGGTACGATTTGTTTAATTTCGTCGGTGAAACGGGATACCGTCCGGCAAGCCCGGGCCCATTCGTAATAGCGGCCCACCGGACCGCGGTGACTAATTCCCGAGTGGCCCGTTTTGCACCACCTCGCCGAAAACCGAGAGGATACGGCGACGTTAGAACGACGAGCGCGGGGGCGGTGATGGACGCCTTCGTGCTCCCAGCACTTGTTATTTATGCGACCACGCGACGCGCCACCTCTCATCCCCGATGGATTACAAGTCGCCGCGGTTCGCTCGCCAAAATGCGACACGTTTCTCCGCTTGCGTGCGATCGACTGCTTTTCGGGATGGCACGGAACTCGAGATATTAGGCTCGGAAGCGTTTGCTTTCGTTGGAGGCAGATTGCGGATCCTTCTGACTTTCTTTAATAATAATCCTTCAATTAATAATCAGCCTTCGTGTAATAATAATCAGCTTTCGTGTAATAATAATAAGCCTTCGTTTAATAATAATCTTTCCATTAACCCCTTCCTGTTCCATTTTTTATTACGATTGCAATGATTGGAACTTTTTCGATCGCAGTCATTTCTTCGAAGAGAAAAGAAATATTGGCGACGAGAGAATAGAATTTGATTCCGACTTGAAATGTCTGTACATTGGACCGCGTTCATATATATTTTCATTGAAAAATATCCATATTTGATAGAGCTACACAAATTTGATTAGTTCTTGGTCGTTCATCCTGCGTTTGACGTGGTACTAAATCATGCTCCATAAATTCTTCAAGAATGAATATTTTTAAATGAAAAAATTCCTGAACGCAGTTCAATATACGTACATTCGAACAGTCTAAGAGCAACATGCCATTAAAATGTCTGTGACCCAGAAATAATTCGCAAAGATCTAAAGAACATCGTCGAACGACAGCCTGCCGAGTGTCGAAAGAACGGTGAAAAACAGGATTAAGAATAATAACAAGAAACAAAAGGAAGACGTTCACATAAATAGAATTATTTATATATAACACGCGCATAAAACCTGCAAGAGGCATTTTTTAAATGTTCGTTACAGGCTCAGATAAAATAGTTAAAAAATGTGCGTCTTTAATTTATTCTTTTCATTCCAAGCAATGGTAAAATTAAAAAGAAAAAGCTTTTTAGCCACCGTCTATCATCTAAAAAAATTCAAACTATTCAGTTCAGTTTTGAAAAAGTTATTTTAAAAGATGTACGAACACCTTTGTGGACCACTGCAGCTAGTAATAAAAAGATACAGTAACTCCTCTAATTGATGCTCAGATTGTGCACAAAAATGGACAATTCGGGAAGAGAAGATACGATTATTCGAGCCTTGCACTTCGTTTTTATAATCATTGACAATCGGGAGCTATAATAATGAATCTCGAAGCTCGAACAATCGTACCTCCTCTTCCCAAAGCTGAAGAAAAATTCGGGAGAATTTATTGTACTCGTATTTCGTCGACGTTGTTTCAAAAAAGAGACGAGTACAACTATAATTAAATATCGTAGAGAAGAGCCGAAAACGCGGGAAACAAAGAAAATGTTTAGATCATTGGAACATCGGAGGCACGTTCCGAACGTTCGGCGAATTTCACAGCGGAGTTTCCGGCGGATTGATCGCGATTCCAGAGCGAAAACGATCCGAAGACCGTGGATGGGAGGTACCAGCGCTCCGGTTGCGGCAGGTTCACGAGAGCTGTATTAAATCGCGAGCAGTTTTACCTGTTATTCCGCTGCCCGGCGAATGTATACCACGCGAACCATTGTTCCGCTGGTTTTGTTGCGCGCCGACCTTGCGGAGAATATCGATTTCAATCGGGGTGTATACGGAATACAATCCGCCGTTGGTTTCCTTCGAAAAGGCCGTGAGTGCAGCACACTATGCCGTGTGCTATGCTTGTGCTCTGCTGCTCTGTGCTGTGCTGCGCTGTGCTGCTTGAATACCGGGCGTACTCGGACCGAATGCCTTGCGCCCTTCGCCGAGTGCCGAGTTCCCGTGGCTTCAAAAACGCCCGAGCACAAAGGCGCCTCGATAAACGGGAACGGATTCTATCGAATTTCTAATGAGCCGAACCCCTCTCGATTTACAACGGTGTGAAAACGCCTGAGCGTGTCGCACGTGACGCTTCTATCCTCCGATTCCGCCTTCTGTAACTCCAACACGGGATAATTCGGGTTTCAATCGACTCGATGATTTCAGATATTGAATCGGAGTCGCTGGGATGTTTAAAGATTATTATCGAGTAGAAATTGAAAAAAATATAAAGAGAAACGTGAAGAGTTTTATAGCACAGTTGTGAATTGAGAGCTTTGATCTTCGAATCTGATCGCAGGGAACCCCTCATTTCTCGTTTGTACAATGATAATGGGACACAGTGTATATTTCGTTCTATTATTTTGATATTTCCTGCGCTCAAATAGTAGGCGTTTGGTGCTTCTACGATTTCAGATATTGAATCGGAGTCACTGGGATGTTTAAAGAATTGTCATCGAGTAGAAATTTAAAAAGATATAGAGAGAAACGCGAAGAGTTTTATAGCACAGTTGTGAATTGAGAGCTTTGATCTTCGAATCTGATCGCAGGGAACCCCTCATTTCTCGTTTGTACAATGATAATGGGACACAGTGTATATTTCGTTCTATTATTTTGATATTTCCTGCGCTCAAATAGTAGGCGTTTGGTGCTTCTACGATTTCAGATATTGAATCGGAGTCACTGGGATGTTTAAAGAATTGTCATCGAGTAGAAATTTAAAAAGATATAGAGAGAAACGCGAAGAGTTTTATAGCACAGTTGTGAATTGAGAGCTTTGATCTTCGAATCTGATCGCAGGGAAACCCTCATTTCCCGCTTGTACAATAATATTGAGACACCGTGTATATTTCGCTCTATTATTTTGCTATTTTCTGCGTTCAAGTAGTAGGCGTTTGGTCGACAGTGCTTCTATGATTTGCGATATTGAATCGGAATTACTGGGATGTTTCGAAAAGAATTATCATCGAGTAGAAAATTAATTTTTAATTTAAATTTTAACTTAATTTTACAGTTGTGAATTGAGAGCTTTGATCTTCGAATCTACGATTCTGCTGTACGATTCTTTGTGCCAAACCACGGCAATTGCTATACCATACAAGATCATCTCGAAAGAAAAAATGACTGACGCACAGCGAAAGCTCATACGAGTGCAGATTTATGATCGTACGCTTACTGTTTACGAAATTATAATCTGAAAAAGCTTTTGTTACAGCAACGGGATCCCGGGAAGACGGCCGCTTTCAGCGTCGACATCGACAGCAGCGGCAAATAAAAGTCCCGATTGGCCAACAAAGGGAACGAATCCGCGAGCGCTCCGCGGGGATTATCTGATAACCGTGCGGCAGATAGGAGGCGCGAGAATGCAATTTAGAAATGCAAATCTAAATTGGAAAATTATGCAGATGCGACCGAGTCCCCGGAGAAGGCGCGACGGGCACGAGAGAGGGGTGGTCTCGCGCGCGGAACCGCCCGGCCGCGGCATAAAGCGAACGAATAAGAATTAATCTGTCGATAGAAAGTGAAACTATCGTCGCGGCCGATCATGAGTTATTGGATTAGCCGGGAAAATTGTGGACAGCGTGTTTGTAACGAGATACCTGCCCACGGTTTAACCGTATCACGCGTCGGGCTTAATAATTCAGCGAAGCTGAAAGGACCGCGATACCATCGTCCGCGAATCGTAAACTGGTTGTCTTCGGAATAGTCTTACGCCGGCCGGAGATTAAGCGACCCGCACCGAGAAATAACGAAGACGCGTTCAAACAGTACTTCTGACAGTCGGTCAATGGTAATCAGAGGGTCAGCGATTAACCCTATTCCGTACCGCGAGAACGATTGCATTAGAGATAGTAGGACAATGCTTTTTGTTTTTAGTTCATGACGTTGCGATTTAAATATCACATTTCACATAATTAAATTTATATTTATATCTTATGTGATTAAATTTATATTTATATTTCGTGTAATTAAATTTATAGTCATATCTTATATAATTATATTTATATTTATATATTATGTAATTACATTTATATTTATATCTCTTGTGTAATTAAATTTATATTCATATCTTATATAATTAAATTTATATGTATATCTTATGTAATTAAATTTGTATTTATATCTCTTGTACAATTAAATTTATATTTATATCTTGTATAATTAAATTTATATTTATATCTTATATAATTAAATTTATATTTATATATTATATAATTTATATCTTATGTAATTAAATATATATTTATATCTTGTATAATTAAATCTCGATATCGTATTATAAATTTCGTAACGAAAGTTCGAAGATATTTAATTAATGACACCGAAACTGAAAAGTTAAAATTGACGTCAGAAAATAAAAACAAGACTGCGGATTTTTATAGAAAATACAAATTTGTCCGCATCAATTGCAAGAAATAGAGGTCAAATGGAACGTTCTTCCTCTTTTTCAATAGTTCTAATAGATTAACAATAATAATAACGTCCCGTTTGTTCGACGCATTACAAGAGAAATCGACGTGGCACTTGACACGATAAATCAATAAAAGGAAATACTGTGCTGTTTGCGAATTATTTCTGGGATACAAACGTTTCTATGAAACGTTGCTCTTAGACGGTTTCAATGTCCACATATTGGACCATGTTCAGGAATTTTTTCATTAAGAAATATTCACTTCTGCGGTAGTTATAGAAGATGATTTGAAGCTGCATCCGATTTCAGTAAAAAGAGAGACTATAACCTCTGTGAACTTTTGTAACTTTACGAAACATGTATATTTTTCAATGA